CTTGTCTATAATTCCTAGCTGATACAGGAGGAATTTTAATCTGCGTATTCCATTGCTGGAGTAGATCACGACCCCAGAGGTTTATAGCAATATCTGCAACGTATGGCTTTAACCTTCCTCTCTGTCCTTCTGGCCCAATAAAGTCAATCCATCTAACGCTCTGTTTAACTTCAGATAGGGTTCCGATCCCTAAGAATTGAACATTAACCTCTTTTAAAGCCCAGTTTTGTGGCCAGGACTGCTGATTAAGGATAGTGACGTCACTTCCGGTGTCCAGTAATCCGTAAATCACCCTATTATTTACCTTAACCGGAAGTTTGGGTCTATGATATTGTATAGAAGTTTGCCAAAATATATGTTTTGTATCTCCTCCTGATGTAATTGTTTCATCCTCTGGAGCTAATGTATTATCCAATGCCGTATTATTTACAATGGGCAGTGGATCTTCTAATTGTCCTGGGAGAGGCTGTCCTCCACTGTCACTGGGAATGACCGGATAATCTTCCTTTTCTAATTGTCCTGGGAGAGGCTGTCCTCCATTGTCACTGGGAATGACCGGATAATCTTCCTTTCGGGGCTCCATGGAGCCCCGGAAGCCCGTTTCCCTGCTGCAAAGATCTACCTTGTCTGTCTATTGTGGAAAAGCATTCATCAGTCCAATGGCGCCCCTTCCCACACCTCCTGCATAGACCAGGAGGCTTAGGCCTTCTGTTTGATGCATTCCTGGTAAAAGCATTATTTCTAGGAATGCGTTGTCTACAGTTCCTACTAAGATGTCCTATTCTACCACAGTTAAAGCATGTTGGATCTTTACGCCTATTTAAATTCTTTGAGATTGCCTTCCCTACCCATGCCTCTATATCATCACAGGTAGGGTATTTGGCATCCTGGTGCCTCCTCAAGCCTGTAGAAATAGCTTCACCTACCCAAGCTCCTGTATCCTGACTTTTACATTCCAGGTTCGCTGTATGCAGAACCCATTCCTCCAATGGCGCTGATCTTATTTTTAATGGCCAAATTACCTGCCTGCATTGAGGATTCGCGTTCTCATACGCCAAAGATTCTATAAGAAGACGCCTGGATTCTGGGTTCGCTACCTGTACCTCTACTGCTCTGGATAATCTCTCTAAAAATTCAGTGAACCTTTCCCTTGGGCCCTGTAATACCTTGGTGTAGGGTTGCATTATCTCTCCTGTTTCACAAACCTTATCCAAGGCATTTAACGCAGCTGTACGGCACAAAGACAACATGTGCTCGTCATATGCAGATTGAACCTGCGTGTCAGCGTAAGGACCCTCCCCAAGAATCTTGTCTTGGGGTACTTCATGACCGTTCTGCAATTCCTGAATCTCAATTGCTTTTGCTTCTTGCCTCCACAAAGCTCTCCATTGAATTTGGCAAGAATTTTCGAGCACTGCAGAGGCTAATTGGGCCCAGTCTTTTGGGGTTACTTTATTTACAGTAGCCCATGAGGTTAGGAGCTCTCTGACAAAGGGAGAATGAAGACCATACATGACAATGGCCTCCTTAATATTTTTTAGATCCTTCATCTGTATAGGCTCCCAGTGATAAGCAATGGGACCATTTGATTGTTTTTTCGTTGCTGGTTTTTCTGATACAGATACTGGAAAAACCATAGGGGAACGCATAGCAACCTTAGGGAAATCATTCCGGCATTTGAGAAGCTTTGGGAAACTCCTGTCCTGACCTGTTGCCTGTATTTCTGATTCTGAAGTATCAGATTGAGCGTCTTCTAAATCCTGCAGTCTATTCATCATTGTTTCTCTGAGCTCTTGAAGTTCTTGGGACAAATGATTTTCTAAGGATGTCATGGAATCTTTCATCTTTTTACATTCATCATTTACATGTGATTCCAAATTTCTAATATTCTCATCCTTAGCAAGTACCTCAATAGCATGTAAACTGCCTTCAACAAATGATATTCTATCAGTTAATTTATCATTGCTCTCAGACATGGAACAATTCTTTTCTGCTAGCATTTCAATTTTATGTTCCAGTCTTTGTAATTTGCTAGTGAAATCATCAAACATGGAACCGTGTTTGTCGTTAAATGTTTCCACATTATGTTCCAATTTTTCAATTCTATCTATGGAACACATTTTTCCTGAAAATAATTCAATTTTGTGTTCCGTCTCTTTAAACCTGTTCGTCAGACCTACATTATCATTTTTAATATCCTGAATATTTTCTACCAACCCTTTCTTACTCTCCTGCAATGAATTTTGCATTTCCTGAATCCTTTGTATTAAGATTTCAAAACTATCCTGCGATGACTGCATGACCTGTATAAGTTTATTCCTATTTTTGAGCCATTTCATTAACAAAATTATATTGATTATGAAGCTAATAATCACCATCGTGGGTAGGAAGTACCTTTCAGGTAGGTCCTCAACCCTTTCTAAAATCCCATCCATACAAAAAACAAGAAAATTCTTAACATCCTGCATCATAGTGTTAGCTGTTGACATTGTATAAAGCAGTTACGTTTGTTACCAATGGAGTAATTCAGGCCAAAATCAACAGGCTGCCAGCGAAAGAGCACGTGGCCGGAGTCAGCTGGCCGCCAGTAAAACAGCACGTGGCCGTGAGAGAAACCTTGGAATTCCGCCTAACCTTACCGGCAGGTAGAAGGTGCTGGTTCCTGGCGGCAGGAATCGTGCCTTGCCGAGCGAAGTAGTGAGGAACTTAGCGAAAGGAGAGTCCACGTGTGCCTGGTCGGGCCGAGAGAAGCCCTGGGTCCCGATTCCAATCCCGCTCCGACACCAAACTGTTGGAAGATACCAAACCCCGAGAAGCCCAGCAGATCTCAGCTAGCGACTGGACCGGAAGCCGAACTCCAGGAAAAGAGAGCGAGACTTCCTGTGCGCTGTCTTTTATGCCTTCCCCCGTAACGCCCCTAGCCATGCCCAAAAGTGGGCTTGGCTAGTGACGTAGTTCCGCCTACGTATGTATACGTCTTTACGTCCAGCCGTATACGTCTTTAGTCCTGCCTAAAGTGGGTGTGGTTAGCGGTGTGGTAAACCGCCCTTTTATTACCTCATCTGTATGCGCCTCTAGTAAGTCACATGTTTAATGGCAGCATCAGACTTCCTCCTACACATTGGTTATTGGTCTCTTGTTAAGTGTGCTTTCCCATTATGTTACCTACTTTTCCAACAGATTCTTTGATATCCTTTAAATTTTTTTCTCAATATATGTTTTTATTTAAATTAGAAACATGCTTGCTTCACATGTCAATCCCAGCTCCCTCTCCCACCCCTCCTCCCTTGTCCCTCCACCAGTCCCCCCAACCCTCCACCCAATCCCCACATCATTCCCCAGGAAGAGGGAGGCCCTCCTTGGGGGAATCTCCAGAGTCTGTTATTTCATCCAGGGCAGGACCTAGGCCCTTCCCCATGTGTCCAGGCTGAGAGAGCATCCCTCCATGTGCAATGGGCTCTCAAAGTTCATTCATATGCATGGTAAACACTGATCTTCTGCCCAAGGCCTCAGAGATTTCTGAGGCCTCCTCACTGACACTACATTCATGGAGTCTGGATCAATCCCCTGTTGGCCTCCTTTAAAATTTTAAGGGCTTTTGCTATAATATAGATATTTTCAAAGGACTTCCATTTTTTGCAAACTTTTCCCCCTCAAATATGTAAGCTAAAATATATTTTATGAAATCTTTTGTTATGCAAGAGTTTTGAATTTCATGTAGCTATCCATTTGTTTTTTGTTTGTTTGTTTATTTTATTTTGTTTTCTTAATTTATGCCTTATCACAAAGCATACTACTGCTGCCACTATTACAGCGATGGTTCCTAGATTTTATTTCTTACATGATCTTTATTTATGTCTTACATTTTAATGCCTTAGTCCATATAAATACATCTAGGATTGTTGTCAACAGGAATATGATTAATAAATCAAGCCTGCTCTGTCTTTCCTTTTAGAGCAGTTGTTCTCAGTCTTGATAATGCTGTGGTTCTTTAATACAGTTACCCAGATTGTGGTGATCCCAACCATAAAATTATTCTCATTGCTACTTCATAACTATAATTTTGCTACTATTATTAACCTTAATGTCATTATCTGTGTTTTCTAATGATCTTAAGTGACTCCTGTGAAAGCTTCATTTGACCCCCTAACCCAAAGGGGTTATGGCCCACAGGTTGAGCATGTTGAGAACAACTGTTCTAGATCATTTACTAGTCCTTTCTATTAGATCCTTTAACAGACTTGAAATGCCCTTTTATCAAAGACTAAAAGACCCTCTTATGTCCAGACCTAATTCTGGATACTCTGTTGCAAAGACTTCATCTCCTCGTGTCTGCTCAGTGCTTCACAGAGTTAGTCCCAGTGGCACTGATGGATTTTACTTTTCTGGCAAATCAGATTACAATGATGACTTCTGAAGTAGTTATAGAAGGTAGCTCAGTTAAAAACTCACCCAATGGGCAGCACCAGAATGTGAGCAGAAACCAGTCAGTTGAAATAATATTAGTACAGTTAGGTTGTTTTTTTGTTGTTGTTGTTCAGTCTTTCTACCTCAAGTAGAGTTTTGAATCAACAGATTTGAGAAGTTTTTTTTGGTGTTGTTGTGTGTGGTGTGTGTGTGTGGTTGTGTGTGTGTGTGTGGTTTTGTTGTCATTTGCTTGTTTGTCATTCCTATCGAAGGAACCTGTGTCATCTGCATCTCATTCTAGGAGCTGCTCTGCTGCTGAGCTACCCCCCAATCCTTTACACATCTTTTAAGAGGATCTCACTCCCTTGCCCGGGCTTTCCTGCCACTTGCATTCTAGCCTGAGCAGGCCTTGAACTTGTGACTCTCCTGCATTTGTCTTCTGAGATCTGGGAAGGCAGACCTGTACCACCAGTCTACTTTCAAGCAGAGAAGTTTTAATGAACTTATGTGATCTTACAAAAGTGGCAGTTCAGATTTTATTTCCTCCTGAAAAGGTATGCCATATTAATGATGGTGTTTGCTTGATTCCCTAGGCCAGTTCACCAGAGGACTCGTCCCTATGTCTTCCCCCTGAGTTCTGACTACTTTCCAGTGGAAAACAGACGTGAGACAGGCACTGGAGTGCTCTTGGAGAGAAGTCCCATGGGGACTGTACCTGACCCTCTGAGAGTGACGAAGGCCTCCATGGTGGCAGCTTCTGGGAAAGAAGAGGGTCGAGGAGAGCTGCAGAGTATCTCCCCACAACAGGCTCAGCCAGAGAAGAATGCTAGTGGCCTTGGCAACACCCCTGCTGAACTCAGCCTCAGGCTCAGTGCAGCTGCTGAGGCCCTGATGCAAGCATGTGTGCATGAGACCAGCCAGCAAGACATGGCCGCGCCTGTTCTACATGAGGCGGCACCAGTGTCCCACACACACAGCACTCCCGATGACCCCCAGCTGCAAGGAAGCCAGGAGCTGGCAGCTCCAGGCCCAGATCCTACTGCAGAAGGGGAACTTACACCTGCACCATGTTTAATGCCAGCCGTCCAGCTCACTCACCATGCCACCCGAGGTGACCCGCCAGATACTAGCACCTCTCTGGTACCTGAAGATTCCTTGGTGAAGTCAAAGGCAAACTCAAACAGTGGCAAACCTGAGAAGTCAAATTGTTGCAGCAGCAGAAATGAAGTACTCTGTGATTTTCCTTCTCCAGAAAATATGCAGGGGATTGTGCAGGCTTCAGACCCGGCAAGGGGGGTTCCCTCATCCCCTTCTGCTGACAGACCTGATGGGGAAGGGCAAAAAGTCAACAGTAATACCACAGTAGGGCCCAAGGAACCTCTAGCAAGAGGAGGATGCTCAGGGAACAATCAGCCCTCTGCCACCGCCTTGGACACCACAGGTGAAGGGTCTGAAAAGCTTCCCGCAGACCCCCTGGCCAGCGGAGACTCCACATGCTCTCCAGATGCAAAGAAGGTACCGCTGCCAGTGCAGAGTCCCGTGTCAAGGTTCAAAGAAGCCAGTACCATGACCTGCCAAGCTGAAAGGGAGACTAAGGAGGTCCCTGGAAGGGCTTGGCAAGATGCGGAGGTGCAGGCAGTGGCAAGCGTGGAGAGCAGGTCCGTCTCTACTAGCCCCAGCATCCTCCCCGCATCCTTAAAGGAAACTCCTGTTCCTGAGCAGGAGAACGGGCAAGAGCAGCTACGTGTAGTGTGCCATGGTGAAAGCCGTGGAGGCCACTCACTGGAACTCTCTAACAGCATGATAGACTCCCAGGAGTCAAGGCAGTACGTTGCCTTTGTGCCACAGGTGCACATCCAGCCAGCTGCTGCCACTCCGGCAGCTTCCCAAGGGGGATGCCAACCGGAAAACCAACCGGGGAAAGCCTTTAAACCCTCACTGATGGCCTCCAGTCAAAACCATGCTACAGTGGGTGATGGCCAGTCTTCATCAAGCAAAGAAACAACCTCCAGGCAGCTTACAGGTACTAATCCTGGCTCCCAGAAAGGCAGCCCCATTGGCCAGACTTCCCTCATTGCTGGAGGTCAAGCTGAGATAAGCCACGGGTTAGGGAACTCTGAACCCAGGCCACCTGAATTTGTAGTGAAAACTACAAATGACCACAAAGCAGAACCAGACTGCAAACTACCTGACTCGCGCGGAGGTGCCAGTACAGATGACCAGCTGGAGAGCTTGAACCCCAGCGATAACAGGAGGGTAAAGGACGGGAAGCCCGCTTCTCCTCCTATTGTCAAAGGACACGCACCTGGAACCACCTGCACCCTGGATGCCAAAACCCTACTACTAAATCCTAAACCTCAAGAAAGTGAAGGGACAGGATCAGAGGCCAACCTTGCACCCTCCCCAGGGAGGAAGAGCCAGCAGAACACCATGGAAGAGCACAGACAGGCCAAGACAGCCACGAGTCTCAGCCTGCCATCCGATGACACAGGCGAATCTAGCCCAGGATCTGGCAAGAGGACCCCTTCTCGCTCGGTCAAGGCCAGCCCACGCAGGGCCAGCCGGGTGAGCGAGTTCCTGAAGGAGCTCAACGTGACGGCAGCTGCTGCCCAGGTGGGGCTCACACCTGGAGAAAAGAAGAAACAGATGGGTGCAGACTCCAAGCTGCACCTGAAACAGTCCAAGCGAGTCAGGGATGTAGTGTGGGATGACCAGGGCATGACCTGGGAAGTGTATGGTGCTTCCTTGGACCCAGAGTCCTTGGGAATTGCCATCCAGAACCATTTACAAAGACAAATTAAGGAACACGAGAAGCTAGTTAAAACACAAAGTGGCCAGACTCGAAGATCTATTTCCTCAGATTCCTCTTCAAGTAAGAAGCTCAAAGGGAGACAGCAGGGCGTTCTGCAGTCCATGCTGCAAAACTTCCGGCGCCCCAACTGCTGTGTTCGCCCTGCCCCGTCTTCTGTGTTGGACTGAAAGGAAGCAGCGCCGCTGTATGGGTTGTGGTATTCCTTCTGTCTATCCCTGTCAAACCTTAAGAGTTTGGGTTTCTGTTTTGTTTGGGGTTTGTTGTCACTGTTGTTTTCTTAAGAGACCTAGGAGTAAAAGCAACTATTAAGTTTAAGATTTATCTATTACTAACTATCCAGTCCTACATAAAAAAAATGCCATTTCCCATTGACAGAACACAAGAAGTGAAACAAAGCTAGGAGATGGTCCGCACCCCTAATTCAGAAGAAATAATCCTCACTGAGGTTTTTTGTTTTTTTTTTAAACACGTAATTGTTTATACAGATACATTTTCACTACACATGCGCCATTTGGTATTATCACCTCAGTCTATTGCAGAGTGGTATTGCCACTAAAATATCTGCTTTACATTAAAACTAGCAAAAACCACTATTAGCAACACTGTGATGACTTCTTACGAAGTAAGGATGCTAGCACCACGAAGGTTTAAGTAGTTCATAAGAACCTCAATATGAAAAACTGAAACAAATTCGATTCATTCCTGGGACAAATAAGATGAAATGAAAGTAATCAAAAGCACTTACTAACAAATATGATTTGGCTATAATCATCTGAAGCTAACCTGTTTTTTATGTGAACAAGTTCTAGCTAGAAAACTTAGCTACGCCTCCAAGTATGAGTACTGCCTGTACCAAACAGGAATTTAAATCTGTACGTTTTTCTGCACTGAAAGCGAAGTGTGCCTCTGTGCTTCTGAGCAAATTAAAGTGGTATTTTCTCACAGTACACGAAGTGTCCACGACTAGAGTCATGAAATGAAGGATAACAGTAAATTTTGAATTGTAAATTCATCCTCTGGTAACAGTTTCTGCTTCCTCAAATGTACAACCTGGATTCCTTCAAGATTTATCTTTTTCTTTTGTTTCGTTTTTTTTTTTTTTTTGTTTTTTCAAAACAGGGTTTCTCTGTGTAGCTTTGGAGCCTGTCCTGGTACTTGCTCTGTAGACGAGGCTAGCCTCTGCCTCCCAAGAGCTGGGATTAAAGGCATGTACCACAACCGCCAGGCTCAGATTATCACTTTTAAGAGACATACTTCAGAGATCTTCATGAAATCTTGAGCTTGGGTGGCCATGTTCTCTCACTGGTTTCTACTGAAGGATAAACATGGGTCATGGGAACATCCTTGGGGCCCTGAGCTGGGTTAAGAGCAACAGCTTGCACATTGGGGTTGTATGCAGACCAGGCATTCGGGGAAGACCTTCCTTTTGGCATTCATCATCTCTAGCCAGTGCTGACCTGAAGGTCGCTGTTAATACACTCAACTAAATGTGAAAGAAAGAGCAACCGCTAACTGCTTTTGCCGAAATCACTCCTCATGAGGCTCAAGTATCAATGGTATACCCAAATATCTATTTTGGCTTTTTCAAATTATTTCTAATTTGTAGATCATAAACATGAAAATTATACCTGAGCTCTGAAACTGTTGCATTTGATTTCTAAGAAAGCAATGTAACTGTGTATGTGACTGCATAAGTAGGCCATGGTGACAGCACTCTCTGAGTTGGAGGATGATAATTACAGTGTTATACTTGGAACTTACAATGAATTTTTTAATAAGGCACATTTTCAGTTTCTTACCAATTGGCCTCTATTAAGAATGCCTTATAAAGTAGAAATCACTGCCAAATTACTGATCAAATTACTATATTAATGGTTGGAGATTTAGCCTAAAACTCTCTTTTAGTGTAAGTACTCATTTGTCTCAGATGCCTTTGCTGGAACTTGATCTGTCTCCCATCTTGCACACACTGGGGCCTTCTGTCACCTGTCAGCACTCACACTGTGCATACCCTGCATACCCAGGAGCAGCTGTCCCCAGGGCCCACTCCAGATGGCGGGCCCTAGCAATCCTTTGCTGTGAAGTGCTACAACAGGAAAGAAGAAAGAATTCTGATCAGCAATAGTGTTTGTGGGTTTAGAGGAAGCATAGCTGCCTAGACAGATCAATGAAGCCGAGGACTGGGAGAGCTGTAGGCATCTCTGTCCCAGATTCAGTCAATCAAAGCTGCTCGGTTGGGTGTTACAGTTGCGCCTCTCTAATCCAAACCTTAAGAAGAAATATTTGATTAATAAGTTTGGTTTTCTTTGGTACTAGAACTAACTTCATAATTTCTACAAGACTGAAAAAAAATCACAAAATGATAAAAAGAGGTTTTGTTCTTTGTTCATTTTGAATCTTATAGAATTGAAGGCTTTTAGAAACAGCAGTGGAAATGCCTTACCAAATGGATACATGAAGCTGGGAACCTGTTTGGGTGTTTATATCATGGTACCTACCTGTAGACACTCTCATAGTAAAATCCTATGTAAAGATTTTCCTTCCTGTAGGTCCATGATGTAACATTTGACCTTCAGGACATCACTGGGACCCCTTGCCTTCTTTATCCAGGGAGGCACGTGGTGGCTTTCCTGGCACCCTCATCATCGCTTGCTGTGCCTGCCTTTTCTGTGTAGCATACACTAGTTTGGGAGTTATTTGTGTCAGCCATTAATTTTTTCACATGTCATTTAGACCTTCCTAATATATCTCAGATTTTGAAATAGAGATAGTAAATGTTTTATTAAAGAAAGAAAGAGAAAATATTTCCTGCATCAGTAATAAAGGAAGTGAGAACTCAGGGTCTAGCAGTCCATTCAACATTTTCAATGCAAAAATGCTAATTAATAAATACTGTGATTATTCTGTTTCTGTGACTGTGAGACAAACACCCCAACTTCCACTATAATTTGCTTATTCAATGATTTTATAACAACATCTGTTTGAATTAGTGGGTTTTGATGCCGTGACCATCTGATCAACCCTTCATTTTGAATCAGTGACATTAGATAAGCATTATATTATGTCAAAGTTAACCAGAAACCCGTTCATGTGTATGTATGTCCAAAATGAAATAGTTGTAAAACAGATTCGTGTTTTCCTACCTTGACCAGCTCAGCTATGTAGAATGTGATTTGATCTTTGATAGATTTTTATTCTTAGAAATCATCTGATACACATCATTTTGGATATCTGTATTCCCTGTGTTGTAGATTAAATATAAAACTGAAGTAAGTTGGACTGAATGTGCATGTAAAACATTAAGGTGCAGAGGTTGGACTTTGTAAGCAAATCCTTAACCAGAGGTAGCTATCTCAAAGTAGAAAGATAAACATAAGGAAACTGTCATTTGATTGGATCTGAGAGACTTGGGATTTTGCTGTTCCCAGTTGGTTCGTTTTGCTTCCTTTTGGGATCCTCCGGCATCTGGGCATGGTATATATACCACATCAAAAGTAGAACACAATGGTATTTCAGCTCTTATTTGTAGGGGATGTGTGAGAGTGTTCCCTTAATGTCACTTGCCAGCCATTTTTGTATTCACTCTTTACATTTACTGCAAATATGTGAGAAATCACCGTCTCCTTTCACTTCTCCAGTGAAAGTGTTTTTAAAAGGTCCCCTTCTAGTGCCACGTAATTCCCCATATTTCTTGTCTACTTTTTTAGATAAGTACAAAGAAAACAATGTATTAGAATAACACCTATGTATAGGTTTATGTGCTTTTATTGAACACTGGCCTGCCATTTTCTGTAGACTCAGATTTACTAATTATCTACAGTGCTGCCATGGAGATGAGGATGTCTACTTTCTCCTGCTTTATTCTAAGTGGTGTATGAGAAATAAGCTTAAAAACTCCCCAGTGTTGTGACATGGTGGAACTCTGAAGGATCTTAAGTGAGCTGATGTCATTGACACTACCACTGCTTTGTCTACGTGACGAATCAGAAGTCTTGTTTCTGTCCCCGTCAGTACCTACTGTGTCACATTTCTAACCCAGCATGTCATTTCTGTTAGCCCTGTGGCTTGTGTGTGGCCTCTTTGGTTGGTTCTTTCCAAATGCAGGTCACCTGCTGCCCCCTGGCAAATGAAACTGCAGTCTGTGAATCTCCTGCTGTCCTTAGGACTCTACCCTATCCTAACAAAATTCTACAACTGATGAGTGATTGTAAAAGTTATCTGTGCACACACATAGGCTTATGAATAACTATGTAATTTTGAACAGTTTTGCAAAAATAGCTTTGTACATATTGAAGCAGTTTTCCATGAACTTTATCTTCCTTTTGGAAGAAAAAGTATTTTCTTTGGCTACGAAAATCAAATAAGTTTGATTTTCAATGACCAAGAAAATAAGTGAAGAACTGAGGTGGAGCGTTTATGTCTCACAATGATATCTGCAAGAGGTCTTTATTGCTGTGTTTAACGCTGAACACTCACCAGCTCAGCTACTCACTTGCCACAACCAAATAACCTCTCTCAAAGCAAACTCAGTACATCTGTAAATGTGTGTCTGTATAAACACACAGCAGACAATCCTGAAGACACTTCTGCTGTTAGGAAAATCAAGATGACAATAATTATAAAGGACACCGAAATAAGTGCAGACTCTGTGAGATGGTGGTGGGGTCCCAGAATGGTGCAACAAGATGCTATTTCTGCATCTGTTTCCTCAGACCCAGGTATCTCAGAAGCCAATTTGAGAATAAAGACTGTTGACTGTGAAACTAAAGCTGAGCAATACTGTGCCAAAAAGAGGCAGTTGTACCAGCAAGTGCACCAGCACATATTATATAACTATAGTTTGCTCTGCGAAGATGGACTAACTCAGGATATGTGGAGGGACAACTTCTGCTTTCTGCTGGAAAGCCTGGCTCAGTGCTTCACATGTGGAAGCAGCACACCCATGACCAGGAGCAGAGATAAGCTTGCATCTCTGTCTCGTGTCAGCCATGACAGAAGAGGAACCACTGAAAGTCTTGCTGGCCTCAAACTCAAATCAGCTGCAACCAGAACCTTTGTCAAATAAAAGGACTGAATTTACAGGAATTTCTCTTCCTGGACACTAGAATGCCATATGCAATTCACTTAAGTGGATATAGTGGTTTGCTGTACTTAGCAGTGTAAAGCAGGCTCCCAAAAGTGCAGAAACGTGACCCCTTCTCGCAAAAGGAACATCAAATAATGCCTTACAGAGAAAGTTCTAGATGATGTCTGAGTACTAATGACTCATCAAGTGTCTTTCTGGGTTCAAGTTCAAAATTAATTGGCTGCAAAGTATTAGGAATTAAGTCACGTATTGTGCACTTCAGGAAAAGACAGTGATGATCAACTAACAAAATGATAATTATGATGAAATGTTCTCATGAATTACAATTGCTAGGGAAAAGTAAATGGGCGAAAATGTCTAACCTCTACATCTCTTCAACATGGAAAAGTCATCAGCCCCACCCTGGGGTGGGGCTAGAGAAAATTATAATTTGGGTTTATTTTGTTTTAACATTGCTGCTAGTATTAACTTTTGTTATTTTAAAAATGAACCTGTCTCCTAGGGGAGCACTTCTAAATATTAAATAGTTTCTGTCTGATGCATGTAGTGTATAATAGCTCTTTGTGAAGGTGGTATGTGGAGCAAACCACACCAGATGAGCATAAGGAGCTTGTCTGTGTCTGGAGGTACTCTTACTGATTGACTTTCTTTTTGGGCCTTGTCTCAGAGTAAGTCACTGTCTGCCATGTCTTAAAATAATATATTGTGGGATGGCAGGGTCCTAGTCCTGCATCTCAGTCCTTAAAAGGGAGGAATGACTACTAATGCTTGCTATTAGGGGATCTACAGGTACCTCCTATCAAGCATGGCAGAAGTCAAGTTGGCCTGAAAAGTCAAGAAAAACTCTCTGAGTAGCAATTCCTAAATCTCTATATTTACTCCTGCTGTACCAATGTGTGAAAAATATGTTGTGCATAATACTGTAGCTGGTTGTGGTATATCTATACATTCTGTAAGTGTGCAAAATCTGTGAGTGACTGTCACTTTTATGTGTAGAAAAAAAAGCATGCTATCACCCATTTAAAGGCTATTTCTTATTATGAGTTAGGCATATGCAGGAAAGTGAATAAATACAACAAAAGTGCTCATGTATGTTCAGTGACAGAATGTATCCTTTCAGTTGAAGGTCAGGAGGAACCAGGCTTGGTTTGTTTGTTTTTTTCTTTTGTTTTGTTTTGTTGTTTGTTTTTTGTTGTTGTTTTTGTTTGTTTTTTATCATCTACAAGAGTAGCCAGCATAATTACCACAAAGGCTGAATGGAGCGGTCTGTACATTGGCATGTTACTAAATATGCCAGAGCTAATTTCACATGCCATTAGTCACAAGTAAGGTCAGTTCTTTGACCACTGGGTTGATTTACATTCCTCACACATCCTCTGTGCTAAGTGTGTGACTGTATGTACATACCATGGGTGTGATTGTGTACATACCTTGTATGAATTACCTAAATTCTCTAAGCAGTTGCAGGAAAGCAAAATGAAGAAACAATTACTCAAAAGCCTCAAAAGGGCTAATCAATGTGTATTTTCATTTTCTACACATAAAATGTATATATAACCATATGTAAATAGCATATTCAAATAGATGTACACGCAAATACACTTATTCATACTACTACATTAGAATAAGTCATTAACAAATTAAAACAACTAATTTTTATGTGTAAGAAAGTCCAGCCTATTTAACATCTCACTGAGTCTGGCATCTAAACAGTTTCAGAGGATTAATGCTGTTTCCTAAATACAGAACTATATCTGGAAATGGCACACACTGGGGAAGACTACTTATATTTTGGAAGCTGAATTTGGACTTTACCAGCACGTATATTCACAGCCTGACAGAAAGATTACATTTTTTGTTGAAGTCTCTCTGAATGTCTCCAGTGTACATAATACTCAAAGTAGAGACAATCACGGGCCTTCTCTTGAGATTAGTGAAATGATGTGTACCCACACTGAAGAGAAATAAAAGTTCAAAGTGAAAATTAATTATAGGCCATGTTGATAGATAGGACAACATGAGCAATTGGGAGTTCCTTAAGAAAGACTTGGTGCTCTGCAGACTAATCCCAAGGCCAGTGTCATTAACCAGTTATTGACAGTGTTGTATGAAAACACCCAGCTTATTGGTTTTCATCAATGAATTGATCAAAGTTCTCTCATTTCTTCTCAAAGAAAATTCTTTGTTAAATAAAGATCAGAGACTGGCATTCTTAAAAGTAGTATCATTTGACCCTGACTCTGTGGCACTGAAAACTGTTAGCTAGTTGTTGGACTGACAATATGAACAGAAATATCAGAGTTGTCCCTTGATAGAGAATTATATTAGGAAAGCACAAATACAGCCACTTTTCACTAAAGGTTATGAATAACATTTGAACACACATTCATGGTTTGGAGAGTCTATGTACAGTCTTCACACCTTAGAGATGGGTAAGGCTAATCAATTGTAGAGACACTACATGGTGACTGCAGCTGCCTGGGTTTACCTGTGATAAAAATACAATTCCTGAAATCTTGATGTTCACCAGTGTTTGCTCTTACATTAAAGAAAATGTATGTACTCTTTAAAAATGTGTATCAGTTTAAATATCATCAAAAATCCTGTCAATGTGGCAGAATTATTGAGAAAGACCAAAATGAACTACCATATCCAATCACTGAACAAACACAATACTCATATTTCAAAGAATGAAAGTAGTTATGGCATCATGTCTTTCTACAAAGATAATTACATAGTTTGTTTAAGAAAGCTTGGACATGGTTCAGTAACCCTTCATTTACTGGATAAAGATGGAAGGTCATGTATATTCAAAGATAATGATTTCATAGACTCCAACCTTCATTTTGCATTTGTTTTAATTGGTTTTTAAAATACTGAGATTCAGCTGGCTAGCTACTTTTGTCCCTAATGGTTTTGAAATATGATTTTTTGCATCTCACTTCCCATAATAAATACAGTATGGAATATAATGTCCTATTCTAATGTTGTGTCTATTATAATCACTGTTTTGGAAATTGCTCTTATTCCAGTTATCTAGTCAGTTGATTTCTTGTCTGACACTTTTCTGCTAGGAATGTGCAGTAGAATCAAGAGTGTTAACCATGAAAAAGATGTCTTTTCCTTAGATTACATAGAATTCTTACTGAGTCAACAGTGCCTCTCGATTATCTTAAAAACAGGTTCTCTTGCATTTGATAGAGTGAGGTGGTGGGGAAAGAAAAGATGTCTGTGTGTTTATGTTCTTTTATTTTTCATGCGTGCATGTGTGTTCATGTGCACAAGCCTTTATAGAGAGGTGCAAAGCTTAGTGCTGCTGGAGCTGTAGGCATGGTGGTGAAAAGGACATCTAGATTGCCTCATATCCACACTTACTCCCAAGATCATCGCTGTGCACTTCCAAATTCTGTTTGCTCCTGAGTAGGTTATGGGATCCTGCCATCTTGATTCCCAGAAGGCAAAAAGATGATTAATGAAATGAACATTATAATTGTATCCCTTTTACTTCCTTAAATCTGTCTTCCTTTTATCAAAGTACTTTCAAAACAGTATAAGGTTTACAAGCTCAAACTTTACAAATAGGTTTGAATTTTCCATTAACTTTAAATCAGTCCTTCTTAGCCTGTGGGTCATGACCTGTTTGGGGTATTGCATATCAGATATTTACATTACAATTCATAATGGCAATAGTTATGAAGTAGCAATGAATTTTATGGTTGTGGATCGCCACAACATGAAGAACCATATTGAAAGGTCACAGAAGTATTTGTTTAAACAGTGATAGCTTTAAATTTTCCTGGAGTCATGCATTCTTTACAACTAACATGTACATCTAAACACATGCTGTCACATTGTCAAATGGTGCCTGGGGAAGTTATTACCCAGATCTTCTATGCTAAGACATTCTATCTTGACCCAGTTAAGCCTCAAACATCTCCATTCTAGTGGACATTGTCAGGCAGTGGTCAGAGGGTGACTACCCTAGATTTTTTGTCTTCTTGTGGGACTCTTCTGCCAACCATTCTCACCATCCCCATTTTTAGGTTTGGGAAACACACAGAGGAGGTTTGTTTAGGCATCATTTGGCTTAACTGGAGTAGTATTAAATAAAGCTTCCTCTTGTACAAGTAAAGCTGTTTGGGCAAAGGGTTGTGACACACTGTAGCATTCACAGTGAGATTTTTTTTGTAATCTTTATTTTTTACCTTTTTATTTTCTTTGGGTGGGCAGATGTGGAGGGATGAGGACATGAGTGAGATTGGGGTGGATGATGTGGAATTTACAAAGAATCAAAAAGTTAAAAATGAAGACAACAATGATTGTTTATGAAGAAATAATCATCCCTTTATAAACTTTTCAGGATGGCTTTCCCAGTACCATGCTATCTGGGTCTATTTGAGCTCTGTACTACACATCATAAACTTGGTGACTCATAAATGTGTTGTTCACATCCTGAAGCTAAGAGGTCCATCAGAAGAAAGTTAATTTGCTGTCTAGTGAGTGGCTCGTTTGACTCAAAGATATACTACTTCTCTGTATCCTAACATAAAAAAGTAGCAAGGAGTGTCAGGCTTCTTTTATAAATGTGACAAAAGTCCCATCAGTTCTTATGCCCTAATCACCTGACAAAGATGGCACTTCTGCCACCACGTTAGAAGATATGATTTCCACATGAATTTTTGATGGATAAATGCAATCAGACAACAGAAGAAACTTTATATTTTTTATTTTCTATTCAGTAGTGTTTGTGCCATGTATGCAGTGCCTGCAGAGGCCAGAAGAGGTTATCCAACTGACCAGAACTAGAGTTACAGATGGTCATGAGCTCCCCTGTGGCATGTGGAATCTTGGGATCAAACACAGATCCTCTAGAAGAGCAGCAAGTGCTCTTAACCATTGAGCTATCTCTCCAACACCATTGACACATTTTTAATAAACTTATAAATTTACTAATCTCCAGCTAATGTTGTAAATGCCAACATTAGTTCATTTCTCCCAACACCATTATAAAGTATCAGTGAGCTAATTTTTCAAAATTTGTAGGTGTAGTAACTACATGAACAGTGTTCTGTATCCAGCTTTTCTGAATATAATGTGGAGAACTAACATTAAATTCATATTATCTGGGTAAACAATAAACATGCTTGCAGTGCTGATCTGGAAGGAGTATTGGCATTTCTGGAATGGAATTTCTCTAAATCATGTTCGTTCCTGCTTTACACACCTCAGTTAAACTGTGTTTACAAGAAAGATAAACTTCATGAAGGGATGGAAAGTATTTGCTTGTTACCTATATTCTTTTAGTCTATCATTAAAACTAAAACAATGGTCACATACCAAGCATTCCTCTGAGCACTTCCATGAACACCTGAATTTCAAATGATGCTGTGTAAAAACAGATGTTAATTCCCAGTAACACATCTTTTTCCTGTTGGAAGACTCTTCAATTTAGATGATCAAAGGGATGCAGGGTAGATACTCAGGCTTGGTATTAACAGGCCCTTGGCTCAAATCTCATCTTCAAATTTATAAGCTGGATTTCTTGACTGATTAATTTTCTGAATCTGGGAGCACTCATTAACAAATTGAGGATAACAATAATTCTCAAAAATTGTAGGAATTTAATTAGAAAGACAAAGCAATTCCATTCCCAAAGCCTTTGAGCTTTGTTTTCTCTGTAGATGGAACATTATCACTCTATAGCTGAGATCCTGGAGTTTTGTCATTTTCTTCTACACTTTTTGCAAATCTAGACAACTACTTAGAATAGTTTTAAACATGGCTATGAAACATCAAATTTGACTTTTAAATTATTTCCTTTTGTTGTTTGAAGCATGAGGACAGGCAATATTTCAACCATTTACAGTTGTCAGCTCTTTGGAAAATAAGAAAAGATTTTGATTAATTTTGTCACATCAAGTATGATTTATAAGATAAAGTTAAATATTAATATCAAATGTTGCCAGTTCAAAGAAGGAGAGGAAGGAAACAAACTTGGAAACTTTAGCTACACGAGAACTTAAGCCTTAGATATGATCTTTTAAAAAGATTCTACATACAAATTTCTAGAAAAGTCACAATTGACATCATTAACTAAAATATAGGAAGAGCACCTACAAATCACTTTGAGATGAGACCAGTAGAACAAAGACATCTTGAGTCCATACAGCTTAATCCTGACAAATGAGAGCTTCCATGATGCTAGAGGTTGATCTATGTCAAAGGGTCAAGATAAAGTATTTCCCCTTACTAAGAGATCTAGAAACTGCAGCTTCCTGGTATGTGAGTCTGTGCATGATGCTGAAGAGGAAGCAGTCTCCAAAAACTCTACAGAAACCCAGGCAGTCAGAAAGGAGCACCTGCCACTTGTGAGACTGCCGCCCTCAGATAAGTATGAGCCTTCCAGATCTTCTCTTCTCCACCCTCCTTTACCTCTCTTAACCCAGACTGTCAGAAGCAGAACCTCTGAGAGCAGGAAAAAGGAGTCAAAATGACTTGACCTATACAGTCAATATATCTATCTATCATCTCTATATTGCTCTATTTAAATACAACCCTGCCTACTTATGAAGAAGTTTGTCTAGGCCACTTTTCTAGAGATTCAAGGACACAGCATTGCTTTGAGGTCCATTCTCAGCTGTACCACATTGTGGTTAAGAGCATAATTAATACGTGTAGGAGAAAATGTGTGATTATGTGTGAAAATAGGAAGACAAGGACAGAGAATGAGTGATTGCAACTTTGACCCTTTATAACAACCCTGTCATGAAAACTACCAAAGAAGTCACATAACAGCTAACACACACTCATAGAGATAAAGGTCTAAAAATAGACTCTGCTTCCCAAAGGGTTCACCCTAGCCATAAAGTCTTCAGTCACCATGGGCCCTTTGGGGACACAAGTTATATTAAGACTACAGTATCAGGCAACAGGAAAGCCCTCAGATAATAAAAAAGCATTACTGTTGCAAGAGATTTGTCCATACAGACATTCCACTGTGTCAATAAAGCAACCTTGAAATGAGGATTGAATCGCCAACTGGCTGAGCCATAAAGTTCATGGAGTACTTTGCAGAGCAGATAGAGAGGGCAGAACGGGACTTGATAGGAGTAGGGGTTGGGATGCAGGATGAGGGTGGGGTGGAGGCAGTTCTAGCACTGAGGTTTCAGGAAAACATGGAGAAAGGGTCAGCCAATCGCTCCACTTTCCTTGGATTCTTTGGGCCTTTATTTCAATTTCTGACTCCCGAGTTTTTTATTATACTAGAATAAATTAGGAAATCATTTCATCTGGCAGCCACTCATTAAATTTTTTTCACATGAATGTTACATGAGACTGGATGGTTTATCTTGGAATTCAGACTACATTTGTAATGTTTAATAACCTAATGGTGATGGATTCCCCACCCCAAATTAGGTAGGTACCATCGCTAAGGATTTACTTGCTGTGTTTGAGTCATGGGGCCTGTTATCCCCAAAGCATTTGTACCCCCTTCTGGTCTAGAGGCGCCTAAGTTACTACATATTTTGGAGGTCAATAACATCAGACCCTGTAAAGGAAATGGAAGCAGAATTCATTCTGCTTTATTCCTGATCCCTGTGTTCTTCAAAATGCTAAGATAGCCCACAAAACTTCTTCTCCCCACTTTTATGTGTCTTCTCCTAGTTACTGAGTCACTGTTACTTGTAATTCGAGTCCAAAGTCATATGGCCTTAAAATACAGTTATCTGAGTCTGAAAAATCATCATAAGCCATTAAAAATAGTTTTCTCCAATTGATTCTAGGAAGAAATGTCAGAGAAACAATTTCTAGCAAACTGGCCTCTAAGAAATCCACTTGCCCCAGAGCCCACATCTGCTGATGTGTTACCTGACTCTAGTGCTGAAAGAGGACCCTAGCTGATAAGCTAGGAAAGAAAAGGCACCCAGTTCTTCATAGGTTGTATAGAAATCAATCCTGCCAAAAAACAGTC